TGTAGCTTGAACTCAGGAGCCTGACGGAGGAAGAATCATATTTTTGGGATATTACCAAAATGATTCGAGAAATTTTGGTCATAAAATCAGTTTTATTAATTGAAAAAAATATATATATATATAGATGACAACAGAAATTTTGCCTCTTTGGTTGCTTAATGTCCTGACCTTTGGACTCTTTTAAAGGCACCCATTTTTACCTGTTATAGCAGGAAATGCACAGGTGTAGCTAACATTAATGATGATTTAATTCCAACTGAGTGTTCATGACAATGAACAAAAATTCAGAATAGCAGGGCCTTGAAACCAGAACACCTAAATGAAACAGAGCCTTCATTATTGTTATTAGTAACACCTGCACTTTTCCTGTTGTGACATGTCAAAATGTCTGCTGTTTTAACAATGAACCCTTCCGTGACAAAGAGTTAGAATACAATATGACACAACACAGTGTGATACAATAAGATCGGATGTAACAGGACACAATATGAAACAATATGACTCAATTCAAAATGATACGGGACAGGGAAATAATCATCACAAAAAGAGCTCTGAGAGAGAGGAGAGTTGTACTACGCAGACACATTCACCTGCTGAACTGCAGACTAAGGTTTACTGTTGACAGTCATCACAAGCTTCACAGAGGCTGGTGGAGGTTAAATATCTTACACAGCAGCATCAGTGGCTGAAAAGAAGGCGAGCACTTCATTTCCCTCATCCAGGTTTCAGATTCAGTCAATCAATTTTATTTATAAAGCCCAATATCACAAATCACAATTTGCCTCACAGGGCTTTACAGCATACGACATCCCTCTGTCCTTAGGACCCTCACAGAATTCAAAATCAGAATACTTTATTAGTCCCAAAAGGGCACTTCATTTCCCTCATCCAGGTTTTCTATATTGTTTAAACATTTATATTTAGATTGTCACTAGCTTTTAATCTTATCCCTCATGTTCCACTGCCTGTAAGAAATTTAGGTACATGCTTTAGGGGTGATCATTTTACTTGTGCTAATTTTAGCCTCCCTGGCATAATAACAATTTCCAATGTGCTGCAGCATAAATGCTGGAGTTGCATTACAGTTGTGGTATTATAGGATGCTTGCAGCTACTAATGTCTGGGCTGTCTGTATTTAAAGTACTGAATATACAACTGGATAAATGATACTTGGATTATACTGCATGAGTTGTGTGAAAGTTTGTAATAACATTTTTTTTTTTTTTTTGCTTTAATTCATCAAGAATTTCTGGATCCTTAGTTCACTGTGGAGGCATGTTAGAAAAACTTTTTTCCTCACAAATTCAATGTAACATGTAACAGTAATTGATATGGTCATTTGGGGGTGAAAGTATTCTTTTAACATTAAGTTCAATCATAAAGCCTGACGAAATATACGAATACAAAATCACATGCACACTCTCAAATATTTATGCTTATATTATCAGACAATACATGCACGTCAGCCACAGAAAGATCAGCTGAGGTCAGAGCAGAGAGTTTTTCAATAAGCTCTTGTGATCATACAACGTCATCCTGAGGTGAAACGGGTGATAAAGGTTAAATGACCTCCAAGTACTCAAAGCCGTTGTTATTCAGTTGGAAGGAGTAGAAAGTGTGCCTCACCACAAACTGGGACTGCTTAAATTATTTATGGTCTGTCAGTGACAACCAAATATCCAACGCTTAAGAGGGGTCTCTGTTGTGAGACTTTTCAGCCAAGCCAACGGGCGACAAAGACATCTGACTGAACATCATATTACAGAAACTTAATGTCAAGAGCCAAATGTGTGTGTTTTTGTATTTCTACTTGAGGATCATATTTTTACTATGTTAGATTTCGATATTTTTGTTAACTTGGAAATTGCTATTGCTATCCTCCTGATAAAGTCTCACACCAGGATGCAGCAGATGTGCTGCTTTCTTTTAAAAGAAAGTCTGATTTTGTTGTACAGATATAAAGCAAAACAACAGTTCTGATTTCTCATATAATATTACTGTTACATTGCCTTGTGGCTAAATGTCACAGATCTTGATATACCGGTACATATATATATATATATATATTTAAGGCAAAATATACTTAAGTTTTTGTCAAGTAATATTCTTGCAATGAAATGTTTATATGAAAAAGAATCAAAGACAAAATGACAGTTACCTTGTATCACTGAGTTAATTTATGGGGCATGCGTTACATATATTTTGGATGTGAGATGAAGTGTTACACCGATGTTGATAATGAGAACTTTGTGATTGGTTATCTAAGTGAACACATTTTTATATATATCCTTTATTCAACCAGGTAAAAGCCTCACTGAGATTAAAAATCTCTTTTTCAAGAGTGACCTCTTTTTCAAGTGGAAAGACATCACATCCCTTGATCCATCTCCATGAGTGCAATGCCCTCTAGTGGCAAAAAGGGCAAACTGACACTGCAGACTAAGGGCTTTGAGTAAAAATAAAATCACTGTAGGTCATTATTTTTGGTAAGAATGCCCCACCACATGACCAAAGATGTGTCATACTCTATAAAGCAATCACAAGACATGTTTTTGGCCACATTTAACAGCCAGTGTTACCCACTTAAGTGTTTTAGCCTCGAAAAAGTCTTCAAGTCCCCCCTGCATGCCAGTTGCTGAGAGCTGGCTTTTACACTGCAGGTAATTTGGATGATGGGGTTAGTGTGTTCTGACAGATTAAGAGCAGGGCAGGAGACTGGAGTACAAGAGATAAAATCTCACATTGACCTGGCTATCTTAGTCTGAATTATTATGCTTTGCATTGATTTATTTATTTATTCAGTAACAGTAGTTGTGTTATGTGTCCTTCACTGTAGAGTCTTGCTGGATTTTACTCAGTTGTAAAGAAGTGTCAATATCATTTAGAAATGAATGATACAAACAGCAAATGAATCCCCAACAATAACTGTGCAACACGTTCTGCAACAATCTAGTACACAACTGGGACTCAGTTGCAGAAAGGTATATTCAGGAAAATCACACAAGCAAAGTCCATAAATCCAAACAGACTAGCAGAGTCAAAATAACCAAGGAATCAAACACAAGGAAAAGGCTGGAAGGCATGGACACACTTGGGCAAGAGTGACAATCTGGCAACTGAATAAGGGGAAACACTGGGCTTTAAATATACAGGGGTTGATCACTAACTACACACAGGTGAGTGGAATAAGACACAGGTGAAACACGTGGTAATTAACAAAGGCGGGAAAACTCAGGAAATAAAAGAAGACGCTAAACACAATGAGAATGATTTCAGAATAAAACAGGAAGTGGACACAAACACATGAGCAAAAACTTGACAGAATATAACACATTCATAAAGAATAAATGCTACACATTTGAACTCTCAATTTCTGTCTCATGTCTCTTTGTCTGCTCGATCTTTATTTTCGTTCCTGTGTCTGATGAGACTCAACTGCAGCTGATGAAAGTTGGACGGGTTGAGTCAAGTACACAAACACACATTTAATGCTTGGGAGTCAGTGCAGTTGGGTCTGATCTCAGAATAGACAGATTTTGTGGTAATATCAGATATTGTTATTTCTGTGTTAATGAAATGCATGTTATCTCCACCTGACACAGGCCGCCATGTTGTATCTCCGTCCATCTGCAACAATTAGAGGATTTAATATGCAGGAGATCATTAGTGATGTCACCTTTAGGGTGGTTCAACCAGTGGAGTTGCACTTGATTTATGTTTTCAGCTGAAACGTAAGTCTGTAGCTGATTGCTCACGTTTCATGGTTTTTCCTTGAGTTTCTCATCATTTCCAGATCTTCCTCAGTCCATGTTGACGGGCCAAACAGCACTCAGTTGCCATGGGCACAGATTGTGTGAGGTTTGAAATAATGTCAATAATTTCTGTTTATTTGTGTGTGTGTGTGTGTGTGTGTGTGTGTGTGTGTGTGTGTGTGTGCTTACTGTACCTGTTTGGAAGATGTAGTAAAGCAGTTTGTTGGCACTTCTGTGTGTGCACTCATGTGACTCATAACTTGATAACATGATTTACCCACAGGTGAGTGTAAAGCACATATTTCTGCACAGGCAGAAACACTGTGTGTGCAAAAACTAACTCTAGTAAAAATAATGCTGATAAACCTTGGTAGCATGATAGCATGTTAATTCCCAGATAAGTAGATTGATTAGCATTGTGTTGCTGTGTGGTACAAGCTCCAGTTTAAAGTATGGAGAAAGTAATGTGTAACTGATCAACCTCGCTGGGACCTGAGCAGATGAGAAGCAACACTGTGGAGCTTCCCGAGCTGCTGCTGCTGCTGCTGTTGTTGTGCTGTGCTACACCCCTGCTGTTCACTGAAGGGTGAAATGTGATCATGGAGGGCTGCCAGCACACATCAGGACCTGGCAGCTGAAATGGCAAGGCCAGCGAACTGAGATCTAACACGTCTCCACTGTCACTGTCAACCTCTGAACACTAGAGGGCAAGCACTGCAATTACTTTGAAAACTGAATGTCTTGAGGACAGAATGGACACAGTCTGCTCTACGATACAGTGAGAACACTTTATTCATGTATAAAAAAATGGAAATGAGAAATCAGCCACTAATTTTCAGTTCTCAAAGCCCCGCTTTTTGGTGATTGAGAGAATCTCTACTGTCTGCAAGTGGGACAGACTGGTCGCCCAGCAGGGGACACTCAACATGTTTGTTTGAATCTGCCCCATGGTCTCTGTATGTCCCTCATGTCCTCAAGTTTTAAGAGTGATTTTTCTCTTGCTAGTTCGAGTTTGGACAAAATGATGTTACACCACTAATATTCTGCAGAGCCTGTAAAATATTTGTGGTTTTGCTGTTTCATATGATGTGCTACCCAGACATATCTAGCTGGAAAGCGTGATTGTGTGCAGTTCCAACTACTGGAGAGAGAACATCATCCCTAGAGGTCTCAGAATTGCTAAATTCCCCTCTTTTGGAAAAGACAATCCCGATTTTAAAAAGAAATGGGAGGCTATACTCAACAAGTGCTCTTTAGATTTAATACTGCTTTTAATTGAAGCAAAAAAAGAGAGGATGGAGCTTCGTCATCACATTGAGGAAGTCAAACAGAAGCTCTCGTCTGCGCATGCGTCCTCAACAGCTGAGAGCAGTGAACTGATTGAATCAACAGAGAGGAAAATCCGTGAGAACATTGACAAGCTCCACAAGCTCAGACCCAGATCCACTTTTTTTCCCGCTAAATAACAATGCCTGCCTTTACCAAGAAAGTAAACCATGATGTGGATAAATTGTTTCAATTAAACAGGAGAAAGACTCACTCCAACCTCAGTCTGGGAGAAAGACGTGCTCTACAGTGGCTAAAAGACAATGATGATATTGTGGTGAAACCAGCGGACAAGGGAGGGGCAATAGTGATATGAGGTAAGACACAATACATAAGTGAGGCCCTTAAACAACTTTGTGACCCACAATATTATGTCCCCTTGTCCTCTAATCCCACTGCTGTCATAAAAGATGAACTTAAAACCATGTTGGATGCTGCTCTTGACAAAGAATGGCTTACTGACAAAGAACATCACTTTCTCCTGCATGACAACCTCAGACTGGCCACCTTCTATTTGCTTCCAAAAATCCGTAAGAATTTGAATTCCCCTCCAGGCAGACCCATCACAAGTGGCATAGATGCCATCACTGAACCAGCATCCAGATATACTGATTTTTTTCTCAAGCCGCTTACCAGTTCCATTAAGGCATATCTCCAAGATACTACACATGTGCTAAATAAACTTGAGGAGATGCAACACATTGAACATTCTTACTTAGTCACAATGGATGTGGAAGCTCTATACACTAACATCGATCATGGTGAAGGCTTGGAAGCTCTACATCACTTTTTACAACAGAGGCCTAACACTGAAACTCCCCCCACTGAATTCACCATGGATCTCACAAACTGGACTCTCAAAAACAACATTTTTCTGTTTCAGGACCAACTCTACAGACAGGTCAAGGGCACGGCCATGGATTCAGCCTATGCCCCCAATTATGCTGGACTGTATCTGGGTCTTTGGGAAGAAAATTACTTGTACAGTCACACAAATCCCTTTAAGGACAACATAACGTGGTATGGACGATATATTGATGACCTCTTTTTCATTTTTCCAGGATCTGAACAACAGCTCACTGCCTTTTATGACTACCTCAACACCACAAACCCTAACATCAAACTCAGTTTGGAGCAATACTGAGATACATTTCTTGGACCTGAAAATCACTGTAGACCAACACGGCAAGCTGCACTCATCTATTTACAGAAATAGCACTGAACGAAACACTATCTTAAGAGCTGACAGCTTCCATCCAAAAAGCCTCATCTCCAACATACCATATGGCCAGTTTCAAAGGCTGGGAAGGACACGGACACTGATTTTGAACTCCTAGCTAAAGACATGCATCACAGATTTGAACAGAGGGGTTACAACAAAACAGTTCTCAACAAAGCTCTCACAAGAGCAAAATCTCTGGACAGGAGACAGCTACGTCAAAAGACATCTCATGAACAACAGCCCTCCCAAGTCTATTTCTCCACTCACTGCAGCACTATGGCCTAAGACATCCGACGCATCATCACTAAGAACTGGGACATCCTGCTCAGCGACTCCGCCCTCTCTGCCGCACTTCCTGGATCTCCAGCCTTCACTTTCAGAAGAGCCCCTACACTCAGAGACAGCCTGGTGAGTAGCCACCTACCACCCTCCAAGCCAACCTCCTTGTTATCTAAACCCACAGGAACATATAGGTGTGGCTCATGCAACCGCTGTGACAATATAGCCAAAACCAACACTTTTGTGGATATTTTCAGGGGAAAGACCTTTTATTCCAGGAGTTTTGCCAACTGTAACAAAACATTTGTTGTCTAGAGGCTGGAGTGTCAAGTGTGGCTGTTTCTATGTCAGTCCGACAAAGCGGAGGATGCGGGACAGACTTGCTGAACACAAGAATGCAATCAAAACTCAGAACCCAAACTACCCCATGGCGGAACACTATAAGGCGGCAGGACACCCCAGTCCCAACTCACTGAAAATCATGGCCTTGGAAGGAATCCCTCAGACTGCCTTTTTGGCTTCAGCCAGCTCCTCTATTGATCATCAACAGCTGTTTTGGGCAGGTCCTCGTTTCCACAGAAGGAACACAACTCATCCTTTGAAACTGGAAAATAAAAATAAAAAAACAAAAACAAGTAAATTGCTGTTAAATTTGTAAGGAGCGTTTAACATATTACTTCAATATTTCTTAAGGTACCTGATCCTTTAAGAATTTCTTCTGCCATCTCTCTTCATAGATTTTGAAGACCTTTTTTTGATGAATCACTGTGAAATGTCTGTGGAATGTTTGGAAATTCCACCACCATCATAATGTTTTTGCCCATTAAAAGGTTAGAGTATATATTATGGCTGCATTCAAATGCTTAAGTGTATTTCAATTTTAGATTCCAAGAGGTTTTTTTAAGTGTAAAGATATTTTTTAAAAGGTATTTGAAAAACAAATATCAGTGTATTTGGATGGTGGGAGGTTTCATGATTCAAAGAGCATATTGAATGGTGAGAGATTTTAAATGTTGTTCACTGGGTGAAGGTCATGCATTATTTCTACTAAAAGAAGTCTGTCACTCAGTTAACTGTGCAGACACAATACGTCAACTGAATAAACACAGGAATCATTATACCCTTTGGACATCCAGTATAAAACACAAGTAAATCATAAACTCTATAAATGTTCTCTGGCATAAGAATAAGAGCAAAAACAATGTCTCGGTTTGGTTGGTTGATTGTTAATAATATTAATAAAACCTACATTGGTATAGTGGCTTCCTATGTCACTATCTGCGCATACTGGTCTGAAGGGCTTGTACGCGTGCCAGTGTAGGCTATAGGTGCTGGTGTAAGTGCACAAACACAGCAAAAATGTCCAAACATTTGCTTTTCTTTGTGCTGATTTAGCCAAGGCAAAGTATAGTCCGCTTTACCCAATACTCAGTACATAATAACACGTTTCAATAATAACTACTTACGAGGAACAATACTCCGACCTGCAGCGTTACACGCCATGGCACGGTCAAAAACCGTATGGCTTCCCCAGCGTGCGCACCTTCGCTGATTAACCCACCTGACTAGGCTATACAGACAGAAAACCACAAGCCTGAACAGATACTGCCACCTACTGGCACAAACGTGCACAACACCCACAAGCAAAACAGAAAATGATCAACCTGGCTCCGACAATTGGTTTAAAATCAATTTGTCATAATAAACAGTTTAATATCTTCCAAGTTTCTTTGTGTTTTCATCCACTGGATGGCAGCAGCAGTGTTTATCAAGTCTGTCTTCCTACTATCCAGAGCGATAGATAAGAACAGAGTGGCGACACTCCCATAGGACTCTGTTGTAAACATTCCTCCCGTGGAGTCGAACCCCGTTTATTTTAATGGCCGCATGACGAGAAACTCCTGTGGTAAGGTGATGAAATATCAACCAATTTTAAGTCATTACGTGTGTTTATTATATCGGAGGTCCTTTATTATGTAGATATCCATTTTTTTTGTATGTTCACAATGTAATTATGTTTTGTTTGTTTTTTTTGAGTCAGGAATTCAGTCAATTCAATCAATTTTATTTATAAATCCCAATATCACAAATCACAGTTTGCCTCACAGGGCTTTACAGCATACGACATCCCACAACGCTGAAGTTAGCTTCCAATTCGCCAGCTTCCGATTCTACACTTAAGGAGAAAGTTAAGGGGAAATTAACAACGTGCAGTGCGACTGTTTGTCCACTGATTGTCTGTTTTTTGTGACACTTCTTGATGTGAAAACATTTTAGACATTTTAGGAAAGATATTAACTTTGCCTGACACCCACTATTGTATTTGTGAAACATTTATTTTATTTGTGAAAATGCTAAAGGGGAGATTTCACCGTTTTTGTTTTATACCTAGACCTCATTAGACCAGGTTCAGATCAAAAACCACTGTACCAAGACTTCTCAAATCTGGCCTAGATTATCCTACAGAGGCTAAACATTCATTCAGACACAGTTTCTGATTTGTGAAACCTTTATTCTATTTGTGAAAATGCAATAAAGACACATTTCACCTTTTTTTTCACCATAAAGACCACATTAGACCAGGTTCAGATCAAAAACCACTGTACCAAGACTTCTCAAATCTGGCCTAGATTATCCTACAGAGGCTAAACATTCATTCAGACACAGTTTCTGATTTGTGAAACCTTTATTCTATTTGTGAAAATGTCATTAAGTTTCTTTTTTCCCGTTTTTTCAGCATATAGACCACATTAGACTGGGTCCAGATCAAAAACTGCTATGCCTTGACAAATCAGATCTGCATTGGATTAATCTACATAACCTGAAGATTCATAAAAACAGTCTTTGATTTGTGAAAAATTTATTTTATTTATGAAAATCAAAAACTGTGTCTGAATGAATGTTTAGTCCCTGTAGGATAATCTAGGCCAGATTTGAGATTTGACCGAACCTGACGGTGTTAGCTAAGGGTATGTGTTAGCTTTTATTAGTTTTCTCAGCTGTTCCATGAGAAGATAATGTAGGACAGGGGCACATACTTCTGCCTGGGCCTTTATCTAATACCTAACGTTACGTACGGTGTATTCTTCTAATGTTTACATAAGAGTGTTATTATCTTATAATTTAATTCCTGTTTATATGTATGCCGTGTGATGACAGACTAAAATAGGACTACTACTTCACTACTACTACTACTTCTATCAGCATTTAAGGCATATATTATGTTTAACTTGGAACTACGTCACAGTCACACTGTAGAGGCCTGACAGCTTAAAAATGCTATTTCAGCTTGTCTTTGAATGTTACATTCATAAACTTAATTGTACAAGACCAAAACATTGCACAGTGGTTTAAACACTACTGGAGTATATCACAACACCTGTTACCACTGAATTAATGATAATATTGACCTCTGATTTAAAAAATATTACATGTTTATATGGCATGTTGAGTTTAATTATTTTAAATTGTGTCTTTTAGGTGATCCTGAAAGAGCCCTGTGAAGCTTCTGCTGTCAAAAGACTCCACAAGTGAGGTAGCTAGAAATTACATGAGCAGCAATTATTTTGTGGCTGTTCCTTTTAGTAGTTGTGTATGTGTGTCCTGTTTTCTTCTTGCAGGGTTTGCTGTTCCTAAAGCTATGCCTTTTCCAGCTCCAGGGATGGGAACAACGTGACCACCCTTTGCTGAGTCACTTTTTTTAAATTGTACTTCTTTCTTAATCCCAAATTTATTCTCTTTTGTTGTGCAAGAGCCCTCTCTGCTCTCTTTCTTAGGAGTGTCTCCATCCTAAGTTGCTTCCTTAGGTCCTTCACACTCGCCTTGTCATGACTGGCCCCTAGCACACTGGTCCCTGGATCACCTTCCCCTGTCAAAGTGGCTTCTTCAGTGGCAGCACCTGACTGACTGGCCCCTGGAAGTCCGCTGACCTCTCCTTCATCCTCTATCTGCATACTGCCTCCTGGTACTTCCCTATCATTTTAAGATTCTGCCTTAATTTCTCCCTCATTCTCTGTAATAATAACAAGGCGTTGTTGCAGTTAATATGCATTTATGCTGCCTTTACATTAGCACCTACTTTCATCTCCTGTTTAAGGGTACGCTACACTCCAATTAAACAAAACTATCTTTATGTGAAACAAATCAAATCATCTGCCACACTCCTGGACTAACAACATGTACACAAAGTTTATTTTTTTAGCAATAGATGAAGATGCCCAGGGCCGGACTGGGACAAAAATTCAGGCCGGGAGTCATACATCCACCCAGGCAACCCAATCCACACATTACATACTCATACACTTACACGTGCACACGGACACACATATGGGCTAAGTAATCACCAAAGCTCATTATTCCAGAATGACAGTCACACAACAACTCTATTAAACACAACTGTAACAGCAACCCTACTCATAGTCCTCCAGTCCAGTGCTTTTCTCTTCCCTACCCTCACCAAATGTGCCCCTCAATAAACCAGGACTCCTATATGAATGGGTATTATGCCGAACTAAACAACATGATTGTATTATTTTGTCAGCAAATCATTTTGATGTCAGCTTATCATAATCAATAGGGCAACACCCATATTCAATGCAACAGTAAAACAAGTAAAAATATAAGTCAGCAGCAACTTCAACTTATTTGATCTTATTTCAGTAACATTAGATAGATATTGAAAACTTTTGAACTTAGACAGATAAGAGCCTATCCTTAAGAGGGGTCCCCAAACTGTTAATAATAATAAATTAACTTAAAGGCCCAGTGTGTCATAATCAATGTAGTTTGTGGCACATAGCACAACAAACCTAGAGAAAAATTGAACCTAAGAAAATAAAAATATGATCGTTTAACTATTAAAATCGTTTTGCTTTTAACTACTTAGAATAAGCCTTGGCTATTATTCATACATTCATACACCTGACCACTTGGTTCCCAATTTTACACAATGAACCTTTAACCAAACATAGCGTTAAAGATAGCCAGCCAGCCAGCCAGCCACACACACGCACGCACGCATGCACGCACGCACGCACGCACGCACGCACGCAAGCACGCACACACACACCATGGTTACTGTTGCCATGGTCACACACTGTAGTTACTGTTGCAATGGTCACACACACCATAGTTACTGTTGCCATGGTCACACACCGTAGTTACTGTTGCCATGGTCACACACACACACACACACACACACACACACACACACCATGGTTACTGTTGCCATGACCACACACCATGGTTACTGTTGCCATGGTCTCTCTCTCTCTCACACACACACACACACACACACACACACACACACACACACACACACATGCACACACACACCATGGTTACTGTTGCCATGGTCACAGACACCATAGTTACTGTTGCCATGGTCACACACACCATAGTTACTGTTGCCATGGTCACACACACCATAGTTACTGTTGCCATGGTCACACACACCATAGTTACTGTTGCCATGGTCACACACACCATAGTTACTGTTGCCATGGTCACACACACCATAGTTACTGTTGCCATGGTCACACACACCATAGTTACTGTTGCCATGGTCACACACACCATAGTTACTGTTGCCATGGTCACACACACCATAGTTACTGTTGCCATGGTCACACACACCATAGTTACTGTTGCCATGGTCACACACACCATAGTTACTGTTGCCATGGTCACACACACCATAGTTACTGTTGCCATGGTCACACACACCATAGTTACTGTTGCCATGGTCACACACACCATAGTTACTGTTGCCATGGTCACACACAC